TTCTCGGAACTTCCTCTTCTTAAGTTTTCTAAAAAGTCCACCAGCACATATGAGATGTAGAATAAAAGAAAGGTTCTGTCAGTGGTGATGCACACTGGGATCAACCAGCAAAGAAGGACTAGATATAAAAGCATTAAATTGTGGAGATTATGTGGCCACTGCTAAAATAATGTCCTTTAATGCGTAAAAATAAATTACTGTTAAATGTGTTTCCATGGCAAAAGCAGCCACTTGGCATGCAGGTCAGTACTTGGAAATGCTGTGTCAAGCAACTGAGGAATAACTAGTTAACAGAAGTCAGCCACCATTCCCCTGCCCATACTACAACCCAGTAGGCTTTGAAAAAAGCGTGCTGGAGATGTCATTTTCCACTCTTTTATAAACACCCACTTCAAGATTCTTCACTCCAGGCTAGCAAGGGATGCCCTACATCACTGTAGCACTACTTACAGACTTTATGACATAGGAGCATGGTTATAACTTCATACATTGCAAGCATTTGTGCAGAACACAGTCCCATGAGTACATATTCACTATAATATATTCCTAGGAATGCTTAATTAGTACTATTATACAGAAAAAGAACTTCAGGCATTATACCTCACACTTCTTGTACCTACTTTTAAAGCAGAATAGTATTTTTGTTACATGTGGAAAGGGGCTCTAAATTTTTGTTTGTCCAAGAGTGTAGAGAAGAGAAGAGCAGAGTGTTTTGTAGAAGGAAAGCACCTATATAAAATATTTCATATTCCTCCCTGCACTGCAATAATTTAATAGTAACTGCCTTGATAAAACAAACAAACAAAGCCAACAAAAAGAACCCATGATGTTTTTACAGACTAAATTCAGTATGCATATATTGCAAAGAGAAAAAAATGTCATAGAAAAGAGTGTATAGATGCCTGTGTCCCAAAGGCTCTGAATGAGATCACACCTTTCTGTAAGTCATGCTGTGACTAAACTAACCTCAGCAGAAGGGCAGCCATTCCATGGCATATTTTCCACTAGAGGTCAGGCTGAAGGAGCTAATGATCCATTTTAGCCTTCAAAATCTATGAGTGGGAGTTCCTAATCAAGATTTGGAAGTCTGAAAATCGGTATTTAATTAATACTGCTTTGCTTCACTTAAAGTGAATCACAAAGATGTATTTTTTGAAGTGTTCAACAGCTGGAGGTATTTAATCCTAAGAGTATTTTAACATATGGCAATACAACCTTGCACAGAGCACTTGATGCACCGTCTCAGTGGGCAGGCCAAAGTTTGCAAAAGTTATTCCTAACCTTAAGCCTTGAAATGAAAAACATGTTAGTTTGAATAACAGACAACATTCTAGTTACTTTTAAAAGGGTATTTTTAAAGTTTTGCTTTTTATCTTTTACTTTTAGAAAGGGCATATATTACAAGCATTTTCCACCAAAAATCTAGATGGAATTTGTTTATGTAAATAACTAGGAAGAGACACAGCATAAGCATGGACTATATGACCATACGTCCACAAGGCTTCACCATGAAGCCTTCAGGTGACCAGAAAATTTTTCAAAACCCCAACATGATTTGAATTAGGAGTCTAAGCTTTTTTTTTTCCCCCTGTATTTTGGTGTCTTATGCAATTCCATCACTTTCAGAAACATTGACCCAACTTCCTGAAATACAAACCTTGAAGGCAGTGAGGTGCAGATACATACTTGCTTCTGAAAATTCAAGGAAAAGTTCAATGTATTATTTATAGTTTTAAACATATGCTTTGTTGTGACAGGAGATGGAAGTCATCTCAAATGGCAAGTCCAAGCTCAGAGCTCTTTGCCAGTCACCAGACCTCTCAACAACTCACTGCCTTCAGCACATCTTGTCTGCAGCCACAAAAACCAGCAGAAATTAACTTTGGCCAAAGCCAAAGCATTTACCCATACAGTTAAAAACTAAATTGAGGAATTGCTCACGTTTACACTTCTGAAAACAAAGCAGCCCACGAAATCCACTCAGACATGAAATCAGCTAACTAGGTCAATCTATGTCAACTAGCATTTTAAAGTACCTAATGGTCAACTATTAGAGCTGCTTCAAAGGCAGCCAAAGTAATTTGGAGGAGTAAGAATACAAAATGCCAGCCTTAACTGTCAGAGAGAAGAAAACTTGTCGTTTCTTCAGTCACCTAAGATCAGTGGTGGAAATAACAGGAATAAGGAACAGAAAAGAAGCCTAGAAAACGGTGGTTTGACCTCTTTTTGTATCTCCTCATGGACTAGCCTTTTCTGTACTTTCACCAGGTCAAAAGCAGCATACCTGCTGATAACAACCAGTTGTTTCATCAGAGTTACAGATTAGCTTAATGATTTTTTAACAGAACCTGATAGTTGCAGTCCAACATCCACATGCATTTTAAAAGGTGAAAATTCAGCTTAGCTCTGTAATATGCTCAACTAATACAATTTTCCTTCACTAGTTCTCCTGAAAGTAAGCTAACCCTTTAAAATACACAGATGTACAATAGGTACAGCTTGCTAAGGCATGGCCTGGAGAAATGAAAAAGCTGTTTGAGAACCACCACTCTAACACACTTCCCAGGAGCTGGCAGTTGGAGTTTGACTGAAGCTGTAAGGGAGATCTCCCAGATTGAGAATGTACCCCACCCAGCTGCACAGATGGTATTTGTGGGAGCATAGGAAAATAAAATAAGGTTTAAAATAAATGCAAGAGAAACACAGAATAATATTGATTCACTCTAGGTATTTCTAAGGGTTTCCATTTATCCTTTCTACTCTTGGTACATAGCGAGTGTATGTACAGAGCTTTGAAACCACCCAGCAAATGGAAGGGATTTAAAACTGGTCTTGTTGCAAATGTAAGATAAGATCACAGAAATAAAGACATACTCCAGGTATTTCTCTTCAAAATGAGATTTCTGTAAAGAAGTTTGATGCAAAAGGAGTTAAAATGCTGTTCCTGCATGTGTCTGGCAATGACAACCAGGCTTGTCAGAAGAGCCTTTTCAACGCTAAAGGACTCGCTCTGCTGCTGAATTTCAAACAGGCCCCTCTACATGGTGGCTACTTTCTCATTGTTTCAAATGGATAGAAAGGCACAGATCCAAAGAAGCAGCTAGCTACGAAGAATTGAAGGAAATACATCTTTAGATGTTGGTATCACAATATCAGGTCAGAGTAGGCACAGACTGATCAATCTCATTTGGCAGGTTGGCTCTGACAATTGTTTTGGGCCCCAGCTAAAGGCTGCAAATCTCGCCCCTTCTCCCTCCATCACTAGTCCTCCTCGAGCTAGAAGGAGCTGATGGCCAGTCTTACCTTGTTACAATACCATTCAAGCTAGATGGTCTCAAGGTCCCATGAGAGGCTAACAGAGAAAGAATAAGAGGAAAACAACACAGGTAGGAAGCGGCAGAGAAAGATGTAAGAAGAAATACTAAAGCCTGTTTCCCACTGGAGTCTCCGATAACCCAGAGGTGTTGACATCTGCTTACTCTACTGTAGAGCTTCAGGTCCTGACATGGCAATATTCTACTTTTACTGCTCTCTTAAGCATCCTCCTTCTATAGGATGCAGCTCTTCCTCATTTCATTCAGATTTAATTTCTGGTAAATCAATGTCCTTGATTTCAAGTCCCCACATTTCTCCTGTTGAGTGACATGACTTTAAACACTATCTGTGAATTGCAATAAAAATCTCCCTTCCTTGCATTAAACCAGTCTGTCTGCACCCTTCCAGACTCATCCTGCTACCCTTTCTCAGTTGCAGCCTAATGTAACACTGCAAGAACTCACAGCTCACAGCTGGTTGGTAGGCCCTCCTGCCACATGCCTTGTGGTACTACAACTACTCCTACACAAAAAGAAAATCAAACCCTTTGGCATATGGAGGCAGCAGAGAGAACTCCCCAGCTCCTCTCTGGGCTATCCCTTAGCAGCACAGCTGAAGGGGTAGGAAAGCAAACAAAACATGTTGCACTCTGACTTTTGCCATTTAGAACCAATCAATGACCAGCATGCTGGATATAAAGACTCATCTGGGTTGTTTTTGTCCCTTGAAATCTTGTGCTATTAAGCCACAGCTACAAGACCAACCACACCAACCGAAAAAAAACAGGAAGAGTCTTCAAAGAGAAGATTTCAAACACACTGTAAAAAAATTTAAAAACAAAATTTTCTATCAGCAACATTTTTGTGACAGCATGACACGCAAACTAATTATATATTCACATGTGAATTACTTGATATATACACTTGCAAGTGTCAGTCATTTTATGCTGAATTTATTCAAAAATGAAAAAAAAATCATTTACAAAAATTTTATGCTTTATCCAGACATGAAATCTACATTTGGAGTAACTTCAAGTAAAAGAACTGCTTCAAATTTTTACCAGTGTCATTAACAGAGTTTAGCACAAATACTTTTTTCTTTTTAATCTATTCAACTGAGAAACATGGAACTGTGACGGTTTGGGTTTTTTAATCCCAAAGTGGATTATACAAACAACAAGCCTAGCGTTACTGGTTATATCTCATTATTAAGGTAAGCATTCTTCAAAGAACTGTATGATTGGAATCTCTTCCTGATACATAGTGACATGTTATTTGCTGGCTGCACTGAGGAGAGTCAAAATGAAAATAAAAATACACATTTTTTTTCCCCCCTCTTGTCTTTATTGATTTAGATTTCAGAGATACAGCCAAAAATAGTGCATCTGTAGAAAATTACCACACGTGCTATCAATACAGCATCATCGCACGTTTAGAATCGTAAGCACTTGAGAAATCACAAAGGCAACAGTCAATCTAATATTGTGGCAATGCAACCCATGAACAGGGAATATAGGGAGAAGGATGTTTTTCCTCCAAAAAGAGATATTTCTGAACAGGAATTAAAAGCCTCTGTTAAAAAATTAAATCCAGTCACCATATAAAACTCATGCTGGCTCATTCAGGTCGTCAACACACAGAAACTTTGCCTGGAATGTCGTATGGGACACAGAAGCTGCGACTCTGCTACAGGTACAACGCCGTCTTCAGCACTTTGTAGGCCATCGAGATGGTCACTGCATAGCCAGCTGCCCACGACAAACCCCTGCTGGGCTGGGGAAGGGGGATCAAGTATGCAAACGTGTGAAGGACCCTGGCCCCAGCGAAGATCCTGAAGTGCAGCAGGGCGGTGGACAGCTCAGGGCCACTAAGAGCATACAGCAGTCCAATGCCAAGAAACGGGACAATATTCTCAAGGTCATTCAGGTGGCCTCTGGGGAAAGAAGCAAAGTTGTTTTACAGGATTACTTTATGTTGAATAAACCATTTCAAGCCTCATTATTTTTCTTCGTCTTCAGAGGATGGTACTGTTAAGGACCTAATACAACTGCTGGCTTCCTCTGCCAGACTTGTCTCAGATACTGAAATGATTTTGGCATGTTCACCTGACATTGCTCTGGTGTCTCTAGCCACATTCCACACTTTTAATTTTCTGATCTTCTGTGTTAAGGGTCTTAGCTTTTCCCCAGGAACTTGGTAATATTAGGGACTTACATGAGGTATGAGTGCATATGGGTGTGCAAGAATGCAAGGAAGGGCAGGGAAAAAGAATTTTATTGTAGCCTCTCTCAACTGAACATCAATTAACTGGATGAATGTGACTGCAACTACTAGACTTCAAGGCTCAGATGGTCTACTAAGAGCCCATAAACTCTGTTTGTACTCTCCATGAAGAAAACGTTAAATATTCCGTATATGAAACATTCTATCACATCTTCAAGAAATTCAATCATCTTGAAGAATGTTGTTTTTGAGTATCAAACAGGTTTGACAGTTACACTTTTGATTCATTTTCTTCACTACTAAGCACTTAAATAGCTGGAAAATGTTTGAAATTTTGAAATCGTAATATCATTTACTAAAAATGTGCTGATACTGAACTCCAGATCTTGAAGTATTATTCTTTCATGCCTCTTCCTAAACCTTACCCACTCCCTTTAACTCTTTAGATAAATTATACTTTCAAGCCAAATTTACTGACTGAAACACAACCTCTAAGCCTTACTAATTGTGTCAAATTTCACAGCCAATTAGAATCAGAACATGGTGCTGTTCTGCAGCTGCTTTCTAAACTCATTTATCATTAAAAGCAAACATCCTCCAGCTGTTTTTTTTTTCCAAAAAAAAAAAAAGTACACTGACCAATGTCTTTTCTATACCCATAAGCAGAACAAATTCCAGTCTCTTATATTGAAATGAGAAGCCATGCTAAATCCATGTAGCATTATGTGTTGCCATTAAGCCTGAAAATATAGTAAAATTCCATTAAGAGCCATTGTTGGGAGGCAAAAATGAATGCTGCAACACGAGTGGAGTAACTAGAAGCAATCTGGCCTACTGGGAAGCCTGAACAACTCTGCAAAATAGCAACACAGGATTTGGTGATACAGTGAACATACTCTGGTCATACAGTTTGTATCAACTTAGTTGTCATCTTAGAATTTACTAACAGAAAGGAATTATTACTCACCAAAAACTGCCCATTTTTATACAACAACCAACACATCAAACAATTAACAGCTCCCTGAATCACTCAGGGGGAGAAGAGGAAAGTTCAGAGCATCTATACAGCTCTACTGAGATTAGACTCTTGTTTCCGAGATTTTAATCCACAAGAGACATGCAGTAATATATTAGTCTTCATGGAATCATAGTCATCTACATTTGCAGGGACACATTATTCTGAAATCAGGGCTGATAACTTCTTTTCAAGACTTTTCCTAATGGTAGTTTAAATCAAAACAGTTCATTCACATTCAAGTTTTTGGTATAAAAAAAACATATATAGCAAACACACTGTTAGCTTCATTAAGGAACAATGATAAGGAAAGCATCCCATTAAAGCTTTCCTTGATAGCACAGGTGTAACAAACATCTCAAAAGTTATAATTTTGATAACAGAAAATTTGGCATCAGCCAAATAAAATTAAACGAGCTGCAACACTTAGCTCACTGAAATACAGCTTACATTCAGCCACAAATCTTGCAAAACAAAACATACACACTACAGTCTGCACACTGCCATACTATTAGTAACATTCTCACAGAAGGTGGGTCAACTTTCCTCTGCAGTGGACAAATCAGTGAGTAACATCGCTTCAATCCAGCAAACAGACCTTAACTCCTGCTCTGTACAATTTGCCAAATTAACATTGTCATTACAATTCTGGAGTTCCACGACTTTAACATAGGAGTGAAACGATACTCCTCTCCCCCATTATTTCCTTTGCGTTTGAGGAAAAGATGCAGCGGTTGCAGATGATGTTCAAGTCACACAGAAAAATTACTTGTACTTAATGGACACTGCTTCATACTAGATCCACCTACAGTCATATTTTACAATCTTCTCACCACTTCCCCCATGCATACAGGATACTAACCAACAGTCAGCTATTATAACCAGACAATGGCTTCTTATTTTTAATATGTATGCTGACTGAATGTGGAATGGTTTGTTCATTAAAACAAATTAACAGATTACTACATAAAGCAACACAAAACGCACACAATCTTGCCCAAGAGAACGGGGTGAGGTTAGTTCCTTGCTTTAGCATTATTCTGGCAGTTAAGACCATTTTCCAAGTCCCCCGTGCGTTACCTGCGCACGCGCTCCACGTCTGCGTCAGTCCGCAGGTATTTTTTCGCGGTCTCGCCTCTGCCAAACGTTGCTACATCTTCTGGGTTGGCAAATGCCTGTTTCAAACATAAACACACGAGACACGTTCCAAGTCAGGATGTTTATTCTAGTCAGGGCAGCTTGCTATAAAGGGCATTTTACTAATGCCTCTATAGACTCACACAACTTACCTGAAGTTAAATGCAAGGGGAATAATACCTTCACACTGCTCTCTTGGGCCTAGCCTGTATGCAGCTTGAGTGCTGACAAATTAACATCATGTCATTTATGCATGCAGATAAAGCCTTCCTGTAAGATGGACAAGCACAGCCTGAAGTAATGCCAGGGGGCTGAAGGAACACAGGGATCTGGAAAGTAGACCTACTGCACCACCTGAGAGCCTTTTTCACTATTCTTGACAAATTATCTGAAAGCCCTTTTGGAACCCTTTCTTCTTCAGAAGCCTACATAGCAATAGCATCCAAGAGACTTGCTCCCTTTTTCATTTATCACCAAGTAAGTTTTTTCTTTTAAGTAACAAATTTTCCACTTATAGAACCTGTTATTACCTCCAAATACTCTAAGACACTACTTGGAAACAAGATTTAATTCAGGTAGTGCAGACTGCAGTAGAACTCTCCTTGCTGACACACATATTAACATTTGCACTCTGTGGACTGCTCGGGCTATGCAGGCATAAGTCAAGAAAACCTTCTGATTTTAGGAGAGTCACACAACTGCTTTCTGAGGCAACCCTGACCTCATTCTGTGAAATATCCTTGGCCCCAGAATTCTGGAGACATGTTAACAGTATCAGCATCACCAGCATGTTACCTTCTGTTGCTCCACTAACTGCTTTTCTCCATTTTTTCTTAACATTTTAAAAACTTTAATATTAAACAGGAAATAAAAGTGACTCTACTGATTTGTCTGTAATATTACTGCCCATTATAAGAAAACCAAGTACTCCAAATTACTGAAGGCCCTACTGTCATCTGCATATATATGGATCATAACCCAGTATAAGCATTACCACAGGACTCCACCAGACCTACATACAGGACCAGTGCAACTGACCTGCTTCTGTAAGAGCGAAAGGAAGTAAGGTTATGACACAGATATGTGGATCCTCTTTTGAACATATGGGACAGGCTGTGTGTTCTGCTATACTCACTCTTCATCTCTGCCAAAGACCTAGAGAGGTATGAGGAAGCATCAGTAGCTCAAATGCTGTGGTATTAGGACGTCACAAACAACAGAATAATTCAGCTGGGCTCTCTTGCACCCAACAGGAACAAAAAGCAGTGTTTCAGCAAAAGTACTGCACCAAAATCCTTGAAGCACACGCTGTCTTGCAGAAGCAGTTATCACAGAATAGCTACATAGGGCAAACTCTAGGCTCTTTCAGCCAAGAACCATGTTTCCAGCAGCATACGTGAGCAAATACCTTGAGATGACCAGGGCCAACACAACACAGTGCCTCCCATGAGCACTCTCTCCTAAACAACATGTAGCTTCTGAATTGTTTAGTACACCTCAATGGATCATTCATATACTTACCTAGCCTACACATCAATCCACATAAATTTTCAGCCTGCTTCTCATTCTAGAAAATAATTCAAATTTTTTTTTATATAATGACCTAACTGCAATGGGAAGGCTGAAACAATTAGGGATGTAAAGAGCTTTAGAATTACTGGATAAAAGGGTTATAGATGCATAAAAATCTACTTCATATCCCCTCTTCTGACCCTACTAGTTGGTTATTCATGTAACATCACTCCACATGACATTTTATTTGCTTTATAAATCGGGTATCCTAGACAGCAGCTTTCTTCAGAAGGCAACAGAAATTATGAACGACTCTTGTTTAAAAATACAGAAGCGTTTTAGAAGGGTAGAGCAAGTCAAATGCAGCTGTAAGATAGTCTCATAATTATCTCATAATTAGGTTAAAGACATCATCCATTTGAGACCAACAAAGCACCAGCACACCGAACTCAGAATATCATTAGAGTGAGGGGGAAGGAAAAGCACAGCACTAGTATTTGAAAGCTGAAAAGGAACACTTGTGGCGTCTCTGTATTTGAATACAAATTTCAATCTCTTTTACCAGACAGGATTCCAAATTTCTTACCTTTCTTGTTATTCTGAAGTATACTGTTAGAAGACTCATTAGCATCATTTTTAGAAGAACAATAGTTGCATAAGTAGCATAAGCCTGGAAGGCTTCATTGTCAAGTAATTTGGTTAATTTAGCCATTTCTCCACTTCTCACTGACGACCTTTAAAAAACATTAAAGTTAGGCTGAAATCATAACAATCCAAAGTTCTGACAACAAGATTGTCAGAATAGCTTTTTTTTTTTTAGCATCACTGCAATGACACCACGATTTTGCCACTGTGAAAAGTTTATTTTCAAATATCCTCATATTTCCTCAGTTTATTTTCACAATGGCATGACATATTTTGAGAAATTACATTATCATTTAATATTCAGATATAATGCAAGTGAAATATTAAACTGTCAAAATATAAACCACCAAAATATTTAATATATTTGCAGAAGCAAACTTTAGTCACAGAAATTAATACTTTTGAAACAACACAGGGAGTTAGAGCAATTTTAGACCAATTCATTTGAACTAGTGACTTTCCCTAAGCAGTTATCAGGATAGAAAGAGTG